TTTAAAAATACATTCGCCTCCCCCTCTCTTATTATGACAGATATGAAAAAATGTTTGAAGACAAAATTATGCGGTATTATAAGCTCTCATATATTGTTTTCAAAGTTCAGCCATTTCTTTTGTCCATTTTAGTCATTAAGATTTTTTTCTTAAACATTGTCGAGATACAGCCGCTTCATATCCTTAACCGGACACCCTGTACAATAGTCCATATTTAAAAAAATGAAGCATTTACTTTGAAGTAAAAGGTAGAGGCAAAAAATTAGAGGAAAAGGTTCTAAAACCTTATGCAAAGATTTTAAAACCATAAAACCTTTTGCTTTAAAGCAACAGCAGGATCCTCGAAGCAAAACCTCTCTTCTCTTCTTTTTACGCATATATCTACTTTGAAGCAATTCCTTCATTTTTTGAAGCAAAAAGTTGTGCTTCTTTTTATAAATACGGCCTATTATTAATTTACTTAACATACCTACATATTAATTCATATTGTGTTAATTTTGTGTACCTATTTGATTCCTCGTTTTGTATAATTTTTTGTAAATTGTGTGGGTTGATACGCGGAGACCGTTCAATGTCAATCCATCTGGAACGACATCGACATTTCCATCTGAGCGCCGTGGAAAGACTGGAAGAAGAGAGGCAAAGGGCGCATCGGCGGTGGGCCGGGGGTGGGAATATAGACGGGGGAACGATCCCCCGAAGGAATCACCGGAGATCCGAGTTCTCCGTATCCTCGTAGGTGGTCGTGTTTAGAGGCATCTAGATGCGGGTGGCGACGCTCCACATAAATTCTCTCTTTAATTACCCCCAGCTGTCAAATCAGACGATCTGACGGTTTTATGACAATTTATCGTCGAATTGGAAGAAAGGGAGGGCCGCCGTACCGCCGTTATGTCACCCTGACTGACGGACAACTATGCATTCAAATGGGGTGTTTTAGGCAGCGACGGCGGCGGAGCGCGAGTGTACGGGCGTCGCGGCGCTTCCATTCCGGCCGATATATACGACAATTTGCGCTCTATCTGTAACGAATTATTGTACAAATGCGTTTACTAGACCAACTAATTAATTAAGAGCTTTTAGGGGTAGTTTTTAGTTTTGTTGTGTGGCGAAAAAGAAAAACTCAATTATAAGCACAGGATTTTCAACGAGCTTATAGGTTCTTCTTCTCGCCCGAACGCCCTATCTAATTAGTACCGAGTCGCAATATTATATTAATATGACTCTATTAAGCCGTAAAATAAACAAACTTTCGCATAAAGGCTTTTAGTAAAACGCTAATGTTTTTACGTATATTCTTGCGTCCGTTAATGGGCAGCGGTTACTAACGTCATTACAGGGTTTACTTATCTACCTGACAACCGTTCACATATTATTACCGTATTAAACAAATTTAAAAGAATTTTACCCAAAAATTTTGGCGGAAACGCCAATGCACCCACCATTATTTTAACTATAATGTTTTGGTGAATGTACAGATTTTTTAGAATTCTGGTGGAAACGCCGACACGTTCACCAAATTTTTAAGTATAGGTATTATTAAAATTTTGGTCGAAGTGTTAGAACCTCCGCCGATATTTCGAATACACTCTATACCGGTTTCGAAAGAGTTATCAAATTAGCGAAGCAAATTTACTTGTCATGTTAAAGACTGCCCCGGTCGTTTATTGTGACGACGGTAACGAGAATCGAATTATCCGCGACTAAACAAACACGCACAATCCGACAGAGGCCGCAACGACAACGACACGACACGTCGTGACACGTCCCCAGCACGACAGGTATATACCAGAAATTGTGCAAGCTTGATTGCGAACGTCGACAGATGAGTTTCGCGTTAATCCAATTAAATTCGAATGCGTATAATTGCATTTTAAGACGCAAATTTCGTTGCTTCTTCCTATTTCCTATCGTTATCCTCTAACAGTATCTTTGTGTACGTGAAGGATCACGCCGAATCCGAGTGATGTTGTTAGTTAAGAAGGGTTCTCTCGTCCTTTCTAAGCTGCAGTATACACACAGCAGAGCCGAATATTATGTATAAATCAAGCGCATATTTAGGGGTAGCTAACGGGATTATAATAATAGCCTGGAAGGAGCGACCACCGCTGCTGTTTGATTGAGGTTATCTCTCGCTATATTTAAGTTGCGCCGTGAATTATTGTAATTGCGCTAAGAGTTTAGGGAATTAGCGTATATATACGCGGGAAATTTAGTGTCTCCCTGGATGTACTTCGATACATTAAATTTAACTTTGAGTAATTATTCATGCGCGTGGAACACACAATTCGTAAATTATTTAATTAATTGTATATGCGCGCACGAAACAAGTATTTTAAAATTGTCGAAACAATTTAGAGCGGGGGACAGGAGAGCCATCGTGACAACGACGTCGGACTCACCGATGTGTGTAGAAAGTCTGCATCAGCACCGTTCACATTCCGCTCCATAAAAGCCATAAACTAATCAAAGTGTATGATAAATCACACTACATAAATAAAGTAAATGGCGTTTGCAATTGGCGTGAGTTATTATTCCATCTCTCGCAGCAACTATATCAAAATGGATAGCTGTTCAACGTTCGCCGGCGCAACGCATTAACAGCGAACCGCACACTAGCTGGGCTTTTTAAACCCCGCGGATTTATAATGAAATTCCGGCGATATTTCATTAGCTTGTATTGATGTTGTTCATTGAATAACGACACTATTAGGCCGCTTTTTTAATACGCCGGACTCTATCAAATTCGGGTCCGTCCAATGACATAAATAACCGCCATGTATGGGCAATTAAACGTCGAAATTCACCGATAATCGCCGCGTTATTTTTTATCAAGAATTCTACCAGGATTACCTCCCTGTACGTACGTCGGAGAAGTGAAGTATAAGAGCCAAGAAACCATTCGGAAGATATCGATTGTGTATTAACGTTCGATACAATGCAGCACACGTAGGACAGTTGTCCATCACCAGTAGATTTGACAGTTTGTATCGTTGCGAAACTCTCGTCCTACGATAATGGCCCCTATGTCGTAAACTCTCATTCAGCTCTAACGTGGATGCGAAAAGAGCGAATGCGATCAGTAGCGTAGACGATCCGCAATAAATCCAACAAATAATTGGATATTCCTATTAATAATTCCATTCCTTACCCTAAATATATTACTAAAAAAATATCACAATTTTTGCCTATGCATCTTACACAAGTACATTACACTGACAAAATTTTTGTACATAATATTAATGAATGCTGAACATTAAAAAAATCATTGGATCGATGAATTATTTCATTAATTCAATAACTTTATTTTCATAAATTAAAAACCGATTCATTAAATCAATGAATGGTCGTTCATTAAATTAAAAATGCAATATTTCATTACAACAATGAAAAAATATCTTAATATTAATGTTTTTTTTCTTTATATTAATGAATATTTTGTGTATTGAGTTAACGAATATAATTCATTATTTCAATAACTTTAGTTCTTTAAATGAATGAATGAATGGTGCTGTTATTTTGTTATACTGTTGGTAGATGCTGTTTTCATATTACTATGAACTACTATGATGCTGTTACAATGTTACTAGGCACTTACTAACATTGTAATTTACTTTGTTACTATGACTAGAAGTTTACTTGTATGTTTCTATTAATGCTAGACGTCACTGGAAACTCGTGCATAGGCGGACGTGCTAGTTACATTCTAGTTTTATCGAATACGTCCGAACGACTTCCGTTCTGATGGACACCTTTCGTCATCCATTATCGTTTTTCTTCGGGAGGGTTGTCGCGTGTAATAAAGAAGGATTTACGCCGCAGCGCAAAGGAGGAAAGAGTATTTTTACGTAACGGTACATCGTTGCTTTTGCTTGTGTCACGAGGCACCTACAAAAGGAAATTTAGCGTACTGGAAAGTACGATTTAGGTTTTAGGTTTAAGGGGATGAGAAAACCGGGCGGTTTGGTTTCGAAAAGAAAGTTTGTCGGCGCGGCCGGGAAAAATTAATTAACGAATAAAGCAATTTTCGCGACGGATTGGACGTTATTTTTGATGAAGACGAGCCGACACGCGAAGCGCTTCATTAACTAAAGTGAACTTCCGAAAAATCTAAAAAAGACTAGCATTTAAAAAGCCGGGGATTACACCCTCAGGTGAGATTAGCCGGAATTTATTCTTTCGCTGACTCATCAATTAGTTCGGCCCCTTTTCTTTTCCATTGAACTGGGAGACATTAACTGCTCCATAGCTCGCTTTCCTAAGAATTTTCAAACTACCTAATAACAATTTATAGAAATTGGCGCTACTTTTTTTTTAAATAACGGCATTAATTAGCGACACATTGAATACGATATATTCGTGAGAGGAACGATTAAAGTGCAAAAGCATTCCATTTAATTTAAGTGTTTCTAATCTAAAATTCAATCAGCAGTTCTATTGTTTCAATATTTTATTGAATTTTTTTGGCATTAGATAATTTTTGAGAGGTTGTGTATCTACTAATTTCAACGCTTTGTTTGGAGTTGTAAATAATGATTTTTACCTTTATTTTATACAATTACTATAATTTTTTTACGGGATTTTTTCGTTTCTCAACAAATCAAAGTACATTAATTATTGTAACATAAATTATTGTACTGATTTTAGAAGCTACATTGACTACAACTTATTTTTTGCACCCCCTGTAGGTTACGAATACATTCACCAGGGGAAAAGCGGAGATTTAACATCTTGAAGGATGGATCTATGGCTTTGAAAAGTTGAAACTACTTGAGAAACTCTGACAGTAATGATTATTGTTTATTGGATTGAACAACTTGTGAAGTATCCCTTTCCGCCTTCTGTTAGTTCTCCACTCTTGCCTTATGTAGGTAGAAATACTGGATGTCCAAAAAAAACTCCTAATGCTTATGAAAATTCATATAATATTCTTGAAAAAATTTACTAAAATTCTGTGACAGGATGGTTTCCAAGTAACTCTTTTAAAATAAAAACAAAATTTATATTTCAAATAATTTATTTAAGTAAATCAATCTAAAGCAGTTTCACAGAGGACGAAATGCTTCTCATCACACGATGCTTTCAACCATGAGCCTTTGTCAAAATGATTCACAGTGACCAAAATGCAATCACCGTCGTCAGCGCTGTCATCCGGTTTACCGCTACCCCAGTCGAACCAATCTATGGTCTTATTGTTACTCTTCCATTCCCAACCAGAAGATGTCTTCGAGCCAGAAGTCCAGAACTTCCTATCGAAGTCTTCAGCTAAAATTAACGCACGTTTTGAACGATTTTATAATAAGAAATTTTCTACAAATTTACCTAAAGTTCCAATGTTGGAGAGAACATCAGTATTCTCTGCTTCGTTATTTATAGCTGCTAATTGCATATTTTTTTTCAATTTACATATTTCAAGGGCGCCACTGAAGGTTTGCTGCAAAAAGTAGGCTGTTAAGATGAAGTTTCGTTAGAATTCGATGTTACCTTTTCTACTACGACGAAATAGTCTTTTTTGCCGTCATCCTGAACTGTAACATTTCATTATATTTTGAATAAAATTATAAATTTAGTAAAAATTCTAATTTACCTCCAACTTTTCCTGCTGTAAGGCAGGCAAGAAACCCAATAATTACTAAACAGTGTAATTTCAACGACATTTTGAAGGTACTGATTGTATACGCACTGTTCGAATGGTGTAATCCTATTTATATATTTTATTATCTGTATTAAAGCGACGTTGATAATAATTATTTTGTATAAGTATAGTATGTCCTACAATTTAATAACGTAAATTTAGTAACTCAATTATAGTTTGTTTATAAAATTTTGAGTGGCTAATTTAGATATTGGTTTGAATGTAAGGATTGAATTTTGTACATTACAGGAGTATTTCATTTCGGCTAAATTTGATGGGACAATCTGTATACACTTCATATATGCTGTAATCATTTAAGTGCAAATAACGATATCTGCTTAAACTATCTATCTGGTTTTTGATAGTCTTTAAAATCTATCAAGTGTTTATAACATCCACGTTTTCCTGCATTCTTTTTTGACATAAATAAAGTCAACGTCAAAAAGTTTACGAAACGTTCTCTTTGTCCAACAGCTTTCCGCCGGCAGTAAAAATCGTCTATCATCTTTGATTTAGTGGAAATCTCGGAATTACCCCCCCGGCCGCCTCCACCTCGCGACTATCGTTCTTCCGCCGATGCCGATGGCGCGTCGCTATATTTCCAGCGACCTCTGTAACTGATGCCTTTAATCGAAACCTGCCGTCACAAATCAAGCAACCTTTGACAGTGTCATTAAGAATGGCCGCTTGTCAGCTATACTTCATGTTCGCCAGACTTATCGGCCGGTATCACCGACTCCCATACTTTTATGTGTTTTATATGCGCCTCAGAGACGTACTCACTCACCCCAATACCTCGGAATTATCTCTTCCTTGCATACAATTTACAAGTTTCGCATTTGTGTCAATGTCAAATGTCAATATGAAAGATTTATCTGATTTGGAGAAGATTTTGTTGCACCAGTAGGAAAGCATAATAATAGATAACGTGCTTGGTTAATTGTGGTCATTTGGGATGATATTGAATAATTGTAAAACTAAAATAATTTATCGGTTGTTGTGGAAGCTAAATTGGTAGGATCGGTATTTTTGGAAAATGTAAGGAAAGATCCGCCTCTGCAACGTTAAATGTAGCCAAGAAATCATCAGTATAAAAGATGGCTTGTGCGGCCGTATATTTCCGCATTTCGGACGGGCGAATGATTTTTACCGTGATCGACGACCTAAATCCAGCCAAAAACTTCCAAGAAAATTTTCACCGTGCCCAACAAAGGAGCCTCGCAGTGTTCGAGCGTTATACGTTCACGTTCAATTAATATCGCGAGTACGATCTCGACGCAATTATCACTTACTTAGGCGTCCCGAAAAGACCGGCTCGTTTTATCGGGATGGCGACGGGCGAATTTCAGAGGAAGAGTACCCGGCGAAGTGATGTCTTGCTTTCAGCTAGATTGCAGAGAGAGAAATGCCGCGGAGCTTAGGCCATCAGCGATTCCACGTCGGGTGAGGAGTGCAGATGGATTAACTGCTCCTAGTCGTGCGGCCTTTGATGTGGAACGGGGGATGAAAACCGGACAGGTGCGGTCACCTCATTCCGAACTTACAAACGGAATTATTGCCGGCGACTTACCCGCCCCGCCATTGTCAAGTTTCATTAGAATTCGCCGTTCTCTCTCAGATTCTCAAAGGGCATGCCGAAAGGTAAGCGTCGACTTTGATAATTTATAACATACCATTGTATTAACATTCGTTTTGCATATAAATCATACGAGGATCGCGCGATATATCGCACAGCAAGTTCAACACCTGACCCTGTATAAAACACCATCGGACTAATACCCATTCTTTTTCCTTTAGTTGCGTCTTTTGTCCTCTTTATTTTGCGAAAACAGTAACATCATATTTATGTTGTAATTAGAGAGCCGGGCGTCGCCGGCAGTTTGCGTCCTATTCTAAGAACAAACGATTGCGTGAAATAATTTTCAGAGCAATTCCTGAGAGTCTTTGCAGTAGTTACTATCGTCGAAATCGTATATGCTACAGCATAGCACGGTCGATTCGTCTGAAATACTACTCCAACAAAGCCAATGGTATTCTTTATAAGTTTCTTCGATGGAACCTTCATTAACCTTCAGATGGAACCTTACATAGAACCTCAGATAAAACCTCAAACCGAATCTTAGATACAAAAACCCTACCTACAGTGGGTACTTATAGTTCTCTATAAACTAAACAGTAACAAACCTCCTTTTAAATTTGCATCAAACCTCTAGTAGTTCTATGGAACTTACAACACTCTTTCTAACCAATTACTAGGTACTTAATCAAAATCAGTATTTCTTCTGTTATCATCTCCCTATCATAGGAATAGGAAGTGTAGTTTTTCGAACGCACCGACCCGTACTAAATCCGGAGTCCAGTCCATTCGTAACAATTTGGTCCAGCTGGCACATGATATTACTGGACATCACATATTTATGGGCGACCGGGGTGCGCCGCACCAGCTCCGTATTTTACCTTTCCTTCTGGTTTCGCCGCGGCATCGGGAGTTGGTCCACTTAGTAATTATTCCTGCGGCCTCGAAGACGAGCCTGCGAAGAGGGATGTTCGCCGGTGTACGAGCCGGATTGCGCCTCCATTTTTAAATAGCGTCGCTGGAAAGGGGATGGATGGGACGGTTGAAAATTAAGATATGTTTGGGCTGTTGCGCGTGAGATTAGTTGGATTAATTTTTTGTATTGAAACTCATCGTTACTCATCGTTGATTTTAATTGCTAGGTGACAATTAGGTTTATCAAGATAAGGCACGTGATATGTGTTTTTCGATATGTACACATATGCAAGTACAAGGTTATCAGTAATTACTTCTTATAGTTTTTAAGTAGCATTATGATTGTACTAAAAACAGTACTTCAATTAGAAATAATTTTAATTGTATGCAAAGTAATTATTCTCTAATTTTCCTTGACGGTTTTGGTTTTTTTATCTAAATAAGTAGGTAAAATATCTACTTGTATAGATAACTAAATTTTTTTGGTAAAATTTGAATAATGATCGGTGGGCGAAAATTCGCGGAAAGAAAAATGGGCGCGTTAATAATTTTTCAAATGACAATCAACAAAATTCTAAAGCGATAATAAAATTATAAATTCGTGCTGCACACAATTTTATTTGAATTGGATGATAAACTCCCGAACCCGAATGAATAGCTCTGCAAACAGTAATAAATTAAAAAGTTTTTTTGCGAATGTTCGTTTTGAAGCTCGCCGTCAATTTATTGATTTACGATAATTTTGTGAAAATGAACGCGAATTCCCATTTTGAAGAACAAACGGAATTTACGGCAGGTCGGTATGACTGTATTTGTACCGATTACGCCTGATTTATGAACTATCGCAAAAAGATACTTCTCTCTTTTATCATCAAATCCTCAAATTGCCTATGAATTTATATCACTTTTTGGTCGGTTTGATCGCATTATTCAATTTTTCATTCCGCCTCTAATGTTTTAGTTGTTAAATTCCCTACCATAAATAATTTGGACCGTACATAATCGTATAATTTTCCAAAAATTTATTATCTCAAACCGAAACGGTCCTTAAAAAACCCCCTCGAATATTTCTTTCTAAGAACGGGAGGCTAATCCCATTAGTTTGCATACCAGAACAACAAGCAAAGCAAATAAGAAACTCATTCTAAACGAATAACCTGGAACAATAATTTCTGGAGGTGCGCGAGAAAATGACAACTTTTATTTACATCAGGGGAAATTCCAGAAAGATTTCCTCCGCGGGACCGCTGACGCCGATTGTTCGCGAATTGTACGCGAAACGCCCTTAATACGTTCCCGAAAATAAATAACTGACGTGTATACACCGAAGCAGGAAGGTGCTGATTATTTATGATACATTTTTCTCTCATTTGCATTTTTCTTAGCTTAAAAATGCAAAGAAAAGTGCCGTTAAATTTTATGGATGCTCCTCGTTTTTCCTCGCCCAATGTAGACTCAGTCGTTATATATTTTTTAATTATATGTACCTTACCTTTAAAATTTTACTGCAACTTATGAATATTTTTACGGGTCAACTAATTTTTATTTATTGTAATAAATTATCCCGTGCGTACCTAATAAAATCAACTCCGGCGAAATTCCATTAACATTTAGCTTTCTTAATTATGTACGTCTTCCAGCAATTAGCAATTCCTGTAAATTCCTTCAACTATTCGTTACTTTCGCAAAGGGACACGGTATTCCTATAAGAATCGGGCGGGTAATTTAGAGAAATTGCTTTCGTTTAAATTAAAGTATCGCCATCTAATTGCTCGACTGCGGGCGAGTCTCCGAGGGTGTATCTAAGGAAAACGGGCGACGCAAAGATGTTTATGATATCGTAAAAATTACTAGGCGTGTGTGTGTGTGAAACACCAACCGTTTTATTATGGTCTTTTATCAGAATTTATCCCCTGTGTAAAATAAAGCACGTTTTTTTTTCGGGTATCTAGCGAATCGCAAAGGAAAACTTACCTATCAATACAATGCACAGAGTGTCGCAATATTAATGAGACAGCTTGTAGGTTATAACAAATACAGGGCTTGTTAAGGACACCGTCCATTAGAAGTTATAGGAGATCCTGAAGAATTAATAGAAATCTAACTAAAAATTTGGTAATAAAGGATAACCAATGTTGTGAGTTTTTCTAAAATATTTTCAACCATTTTTGAGTTCATTTTTGGATTATCTGGCTCTTTTTAACTAAACTTTGATGACAACACAATATGCCAAAAACGCGGCACTTTTGAGCAATTTAATTTTTTTTGAAATTTTTTGGAAATACGGTCGAATGTATTTTCTTTGATATCTCTAATAATGCACCTAGAAGTTTGAAATTTGGTATCGATAATGTGCAGACCTAAAATTACCTGACAAACTTGGCTAACATAAAGTGGCGATAACTTTGTTATTTCAAATGGATCACCCTGTAATTTTAGGCATTGGACTGTGGAGATTTTTAAGCCCTTTTTGGATCCATGTATTAGGTATTCCCTATACCCAAATTCAGTGGTTTTTGAAATAATCAATCTTCTGTTCATTATGCTTAAAATTCTTGAAATTTTTGACACTCAAAAATCAAGACACTCCTAAATTTTCAGATTTTTAACTCTTTTGGATCTCTATAACTTCTAATGGACGGTTTCCTTAAAAAGCCTTGTATAGATAGGAATAAACCATCGAGTTGAAATGAACCGTTACCTTCGTGCAATTAAAAAATTCGTTATTCGAATGAATTCGCTTTACCTACGGTGAATAATGGATAATCCAATATAAACCTTCGTTTGGGCAGCGTGCACGAAAACATTAATAAAACAAAACCCGGCACCTTCGTCGCGAAATATACAAACGTACCGGCGAAAAGGTCGTAATTAATAAAAGGAAGCGCGTCCGGCATTGGTCCAGGTCTAAATTACCATCGAACGGCCGTTAAAGGCATTAATGCCACCCTTCACATCGACGACTATTTATATTAAAGAGTGGAAATTAAATCTGAGATATTCAAGGCGGGCATTAACAGAAGGACCGGGCAGGCCGTTACATACGGTCGCAAACGCATATAATACAGCAGTAAAAGTGATTTGTGACGTTGGGCAGCCTCCGCATTGCAAATCCTGCTTCTATTCTTCCGCCGCCGCAGGATTAGTCCTCGCCAATTATTATTCCGAACGTTCAGATATTGCTAGCGGAGGACGACCTGCTAAGGTACTCGACTCATTGGCGTTACATTAAGGCATTATCCTGCTCTCCTGTCGATTAAAAAAATCACTTCGAGATGTAATTCGGTTCGTGTAATAAATGAGCCTCAGTCGGGCTCAAAACTTTCTCTACGATAAAATGAATGAATTAACGAGCAACTGGACGAAGTTAGATTCGAGGGTGAGCCTCATCTTGGGTCCACGACCAGGATATAAGATTTATATTAATATATAGAAGGTTAGAATGACAATAATAATTTTATTGAAAGAAGATAATTAAATATCTATATACTTGATTTAGTTTTGTCTGCTAATTTGAACATGATAATTTATTAATAACTCAATTGTCATACATAACACACTCAAAAATGTTTTGCATATTATAGTTGATACTATGATTTCTCATGCATTGAAACACCTATCTTCAAATTTTCACTTCTGTACATCCGAAATTTTTCAAATTGCTGCAATAAACCATTTATTTAATTTCAACTTTTACACTCTGTATCTTTTTTATTTTCCATATTTTACTAATGCAATTAGAGTCAGATCGTAATATTTTGAGGTCCAGAATCTTCCCCTTCACTTTTGGACCATTACTTACGAACCACCTTGTATATACACTCAAAAATGTTTCGCATAATGGAATAATAACGAATACAACGAATTATTTGTAAAATTACTCATCAAAATTGGTTTCTAAAAGGCATAAACATCATTTAAAATTAACAATAAAAACAATTTAACAAAAGACATTTTAAACAATAAATCGGCCGTAGCATTTCAACTATATAATATGCAAAACATTTTTGAGTATGTGTATTTGGCAAATTATTTATCTATGTATGTATATTTTTTTGCGTTGATAGTAATATATTGCATTTGAAATAAAATATCATTGAGATAAGGAACCCGGTACTTCATTACATAACTCAATTATAACAAACCTGCAAACAATATTGAAATAAAATTTTAAGGAATACTTATTACAAGAGTTTTTATTTTAGTACCTGCTTTATAAAATAATATTGCATTGCAAGTACAATATCATCGAGTTGGTATTTAATTATACATATACATAAGTATCTTTTTTATCTACAATGAATAAAACTTTAATCATCTTCAAATCTATTACTCAACCAATATTATACCATGCGATGAATCGGCGGACGAATGTAGCGCTCGAATTTGGGCGCTAGGTATATGGCAAATACAGATTGCTCCATTTTTCATTCCAACATAGGCTATAGGTGCAACAAAGACAACTTCAATTAGACACTTATAAAAGAAAAAGAAACAGTGACATTATGTCATTGCAACTTTTCACTCTGACAACTGTTATTTTAATAATCTTTCTTTGTTCAACTCATAGAAATGCCCATGTTGAATCGCGAATGAAGCACGGTGTATACTAAAATATGGCATTTTAGATGGTATTAAATTTGTGAAATTTAAGCAACAATTTAATTTCTTTAAAACATTTAGGACGTAGGTACTGCTATTAAAATACCAAAGAATAATAACGAAATTAAAGACTAAATATTGTATTTATTGAATAACAAAATACATTATGTCTGCTATATTTAGTAAGTCTCACAAACGACGTAAGCAGTCAGGTCGGAATTTTTGCAGAAATAACTATTCCAGGAACCCTTTGAGAATTCGTTGAGGATAATTTGGATGCAATTCTCATTTTCGCCTGTCGGTTCTCCAGTGCCCCAATCGAAGAATTTAATTTTTTCTTGCGTGGTGTCCCAGATCCAGTAGTCGAGTAATTTGTCGTCTTGTAGCCTCGTTCCTGATGTCCAAAATGTCTTGTACAAATAACCAACTGAAAAATAATACAAACTGTAAGAACTATAATATGGGTTAGTGAAGGTTCATTACATACCCTCGGACAATAATAAATCCGTGACTCGTTTACTCTCTTCCTCGCTTTCGATTGTTAATACTCGTAGATCATATTTTTCGCATGTGGCCTTGGCAGCTTTGTAACTGTATGACTGTGAAGGAAGAGAAATCTTGATAAATGTAAATGTAGGAATAGGAAATGTTTGCTTACCGGTGTAAGGTAGACGTAATAAGTCTTGTTATTGCTATCCAAAACGTGGGACCAAGGTCTATTGGCTGTAGTTCAAAATTTTTATTTTATTATTTGTGATCTAGAGATATTTGAAAATTTACCTGATGTTTCTTCTATGACATAGCCTACGGCCAAACTAGCTAAAACGCTGAGAAATAGGAAACAGAATTTTATAGAAAACATGATTAACGGATTACGAAAACTCTATTGTATCGATTGTCAGCTACCTTTATAATACTGTCAGTATCTATTTTTTTTGAAACTGATAACATGTTGTTGATCAATAGATTGCTTTATATCAATTATTCGAGGTACTTCACAACTTTATATCTATTGAACTAATTAAAAATATAATTACCTTAAAATATATATCTTCAAATCAAACCAATAATTAATGCATATGAAACTAGTACTTTTAGCAAATTACTTATAGAATTATATAATATACTATACTATATTATTAGAGTATGTATTATTATATTATACTGTGGGTATATGTATGTAGAAATTACTGTTAGTTTAATAATCCATTTACAAGAGTATAAGAAATCCATCCATTCAATCAGAAATAATTCGCATATCAAGCCGGCTCGATCGCCGATATTCCGGGAAACGAATTCCTTCTGGATGTGCGCCTGGAAATTACGAAAGTAGTAAGTCGTCGTTTTTTTTTCCGGAAGAGAGAGAGGCAGCTCCGGAGGGATCTGTAGATAGCATTGTATATGAGCACCGTTAGACTGGACATAGTTTAAGCCGTCCCATAAACAAACGGCTATCTGGCCATCAGTCGGGAACAGTTCAGGTTCAGTCGCATTTCCTCCCGTCCCTGGTGGTAAACATCGTAACTTTAGTCCATATCATTTCTCCACCGGGCGATCTGCCTTTAGGACAATCATATAGTCCTATCGAAATTTAAATTTTTCATCATTTATAATGTATCCACTACATAGATTATTATTAAATAGAAGAAAATGAAGTTGTACTTGGTGAATTAATTAGAAACTTCCAGCTAGTAGCGCGCATCAAAAATGGTAGATTAAAATTTATGTAGCGTTCGAGATCGGGTGCCTTACCAAGAACACGTCGGAATACCTCGACGACGAATTTATTTCGGTCATTATTCTAGAAACGTACCGATACAAACGCAGATACACGACTCTTGCCCGCTCAAGAAAATACGACCAGCCTGACGACAATGGCTGTCACTTACCTTCTAATTAAAGCCGGTGTGCCTGTCATGTCGCTGCGGAGTCCCGTGTGTGTGCGTTTCTGTGTGATACCAGATTACCAGAGGACTTACCGGTTTACCCGTACCCTCGATTATCACCATTATCTCAAATATGCAGACGTCCCAACGGCGGATCTTAAATTAGACCGAGCGGCCAGGTCGATCTTCGTGGTGATTAAATAGATGCTAATGACCCACGAATCGCGTTTTTATCTCTATTATCTGCTTAATTTTTTTTATAATCCTAGCTAATTAAAGAAACGCGTTTCATGAGCGATTTTGAAAGCGGGTAGGTGTTTTCTTTGAACATCCAAAAATGAAGTGGTGAAAGTTTTTGGGGAGATGGTCAAGATGGCCACGTCGACAGAAAGGGAGCTGTTTCCGTTTCCGTCGTTTTTCCGGAGTTGCAAAAAAATATTAAGCAGGCATTGATTTATTTAGGAGGCCGAAAAAACATATTTTCCCGCGAATGTTCTTCGTAAAATTGGGGGTACATAAATTTGTCTCCGCATAAAAAAGAAGTTATTTATTAAGTATCTACGCGACCAATTCATCGAGAGATTTCAAGTGAATGCGAATCTAAATCTGATAGAATTTCGAAAAATACCGTGTACATGCATAAGCGTTTTTTTTGAGCACTAAAGTGCGGAGCATAAACGCCGAGTTCTAAGTGATTCATGTATTGTTTCTCGTTTGGGGTAGACAATCGTAAACCACTAGAAATTATGTCTTTGTACACGGTGAATTCCATGCAGTTACTTCTAAATTATACCCCGCAGATAAAAAATGTAAATGACGCCCTGAATTATTATCTCCGGGTTTATCGTATCGCATCTCGCGCCCCGACGTTCATATCTCTTTTCTTTTCGTTCTTAAGGGATGTTATTTATTGTCTCTTTTCTTAATAAGCACCTGGATCAAAGACACAAGTAATTGTTCATTTTTAATTAGATATAGTGCATTATATTGACAAAATATTACTTTCCTTATAGATATTTTTTTAAATTTGTAGATTAATAAAGCAGTTAACAATAAACCCCCGTACATAAATTATACCAAACGAATAAACTCACATCGGCCAATTCTCCCTCGCGCAGCCCGATTGCGGTCTTATTTATTTTACGCGATACAATAAGTTAAACGGCGGTCATACGCTCAAAAAATATATCCATGTTTGAGTCCATAAAGTGGACATTTTATTCGATAAAACAACAAAGACATCGCCAATGGTCTCATGTAACTTTCAACATAAATAGGTGGATTAGAAGTTGATACGAGGGAAAAATCACTAGATAGGATGCCGGGCGTTTTGCTAGTTGGTCGCAGTGACGGCGATATGAAGGTGTAAATTAAAAAAATGTACCTCACATTAACGAGTAATTAATTATTTTAATAATTTATTAAATAATCGTTGAATGGTACCAACAATGTAGTGGAGTATATTTTACTCGAATGTTGTATTTTAATTAAGCCTAAATTGGAGGAAAATTTGATATTTTCTTTAAGTAATATTAATTGGTGTTTGTGAAATAATTATTTGCATGATTTAATAATAAAAAAATAGCGATGTTTGGCCCTCTTCGACGGGGCGTCTTTGGTTGTAATGCCAGCGAAGTCGATAGTTTTACAACAACATACTCGTAATTTCGTCCATTTTATGTGTGATAGTGTTCGGACACGGGGTCTTAGGGCTCAGGATATATAATGCAAACAATTCGAAGTAAAATGGTCGCCTGCGGTGGAACGATGGCAAGTTGGCAGGGATGCAGCCCCATAGGTGTTGTAACTTTCTATATCTACAATAATCGAAAAAGGGCGGAAAACCTTCGGTGGACATTCACAGGAAATATGTGCGTGTTTCTCTCCTTCTACCACCACTCCAATCAAAATTTTTACCAACTTTTCCTCGTCGAATTCGCGGCTACGTCTTCGCTTTTTGCTTGGCTGCAAATTCCGCCAAATTAACGCGGCAATTTCGCTTTATTAATGCTCGAGATGATTGCCGCGCGCCATCTTTGAATATTATTCTGGTCGTGTTGACAGCGGTTATTATTGTAGTTTATTATTATTATGACTCGTCTGCGAAATTATCGTTTCGCAAAACGACTAGGCGAGCATTTACAAGTCGTTTCGTGAACTAAACGGAGTTGAAATGTACGTGTAAACGAAACTGCAATTCTGCAAATGAAACAAATGCATATAAAATTGCGTTATCTATCTAGAAAAAGTCGCATAACAAACGATGAGGTTTAACAATTGTACTCGAAATAGAAGAATTATGAAACTAGAAATTAGTTATTTGGAAATTTCTTGAGTTAGTTCTGTTAGGAAGATGTTTTTTGAGATGTCTAATTTTTCCCAAATTTTAGAGACGAATTTAAATAACTTCTTTTGAGTTCTGCTCATAGCCTCATTCCCAGTTTTCCAAACCCCCCATAATAAAAAAAGATGTTTATAAATGAAGTATTGGATAATCAAAAGGAAGAAAATACGGTGAAAAGCGCCTGGAAACAACTCGAAGCGAGGAAAGACGACGAAAAAAGAAATAATTATCGCGCGGATCTTTCGGTATAATTTTCTCGGAGGTAAAACCGCACCGAAAGAATCGTCGAATAAATATCCGTCGTTCCTTTACGTTCGCTTAAAATTGCACACCCCAAGACTGATCTCATTCGGTAGCTGCAGATAACTGTGTTTTATGTTAATGATTATATGCATGCTTTTAAAAGTTAAGTCGCAAGATGGCCGCCGCATCTGCCGCCGCGCCGCTAGTTAAATTTCATCTACAGCGCGTCCCAATCATATATAAATTTCAATAAAATTCTTTTAAATTACATTTTCAGAACCATCAAAGTCTTGTATAATGATAACATACAATAGTAGGTAGAATTTATAAGTAACTTTAAGTACTTAAGCTAACTTAAGCAAATTCGGAGTTACAAGGTCTGTTTCGTCTCTTTAGATTATTTTAATTTAATTTGTGAAAATTATATTAAGCGATATGGAAAAATGATATTAGTGAGGTAGGACGTTCTGTATAGATAGTTTCGCGGGACGAGAAAATTGGATTCATCCTCTTCTCTTATGTGCAACGGTAATTATTAGTAGTGGCCTCTGGTGGCACATCTTGCACTGGCTGGGATTTTCGCAGACACGACGACTAAACGGCATTTTTTTATTCTCCTAATCAAAACTACCAACAGTAAAATTACACCGAATGAGACGGGGGATGTATTCAACTTTGTTAGTTGGACCGTAAGGGGTTAAGTTAAAAATCCGGGCGTTCCGATTCTACAAGATTTTATGACCATATCTTCGCCCGTTTCTCCCTCGACTGGGCTACTGTGCTAGAATTAATTAGTAATTTACATGGGGCGACTTCAAACTTTTCCGGTAGCGTCACTGTATTATTTTCAATGTAATTAACAATTCCTTCTACCTACTTACGGCGTTAAATTTTCACGTACAATAAAATAAGTCGGATTCCGGGCGATCCGGCAAGAATAATAATTGTTTCAACTTACAATCGAGAAACAGCGGAACATCAAGATCGGGTGAATTAATGATGGGAGGCGTAGAAAGTGATAAATAATGATTTTGCGGAGCAACAATTGAAAATCCAGAGGTATCATTTGTCAAGAATATTAAGTGCTAAAAATGAGGATGGAGCACCGTGGCGGAAATTGGATTTGCCATTGGACCAAATTCAAGTTACTACAAAATTATAAAACAAAATAATTGTGAGCAGACACGTTTATAGAAATAGCAGAAATTGTTAAAAAATGTAGCAAATTATTTTTGAACAGAAAACTAAAAGAAGTGCTTTAATTTTTTTAAGTAATAAAGGATTAAAGCAAAGTTATACCTATGAACAATAAAGTGTTTTAAGAAACATCGTCCATTTATTTATTACATCGAACCTCAACAAGCTGTAAATTCAAAGTCCCTTGAAGGGTGGAAAACGTCTAATTGTTTCACTTGATCGTCGTTTTTAGATCAAACGCTCCACCATTTAACCCCCTGTCCGGT